CTAGGAGGAAAGGGGGGGAAGGAATTGGGAGACAGGGGTTGTTGTTACGCCCGGTAGTTTTCAACATATGAACAATGTCCTCGACATGGCCTTGAGAACCCATTTTCCGAGATATCAACCATAACTACACGTGGGTTTCAACCCACATTTTTAAATTTCTTTTTAGTAATTTTGAGCGGTCATTTTCAAAGAATTAGAAAGATTCACAATGAATATGAAAATAAATATTTCTTTATTTATTTCTGCTGTAGGCAACATCTAAAAATTATTTAAACATTGAGTTTTGAATAAATAAGTTCCCTATATATGACAATCAAGTAACGTTAAGGTTTATTGTGAACAACAAAGAAGAGTGCAGGGACAAAGAAATCGATTCTCAGGATATAAACTTTACATTCACTTCAATACAAGATGTTCAAATATGTACAAAATAACAACAAATTTAATTGATTTTCGTTTTAAACCATTAAATGATTAATTCATCGCTTTTTAAATGTTGTGTTCAAAAATAAATTTTTCACTTTTAGAACTGTTCTTCACTACACAAAGACAAACAATTGAAATCCAATTAATAAAATCTTTTTAACAACAATCTTCAGTTTCATACGAAAGTCTTTTTCGAACCTTTCAAAATGAATATAAGATAGCACTGTGACCAGACATATTTAATCCTTTAATGTTTACTAGGCCCTACTAGTTTTTTATTTGCTATTGTTACCATCTATGTAACTTTATAATAAATATTAAGTATTTTGCGCGTTTTTCGACGGCTTTTTTGATCATAATATAAATAAAAATATGTCGGAAAGTAAATATTGTTAAGTAGAAAAACTGGGGTCAATAATCTCAAAGTAAACTGTTTAACTCATGATAAAGAGTCAGATAGGCAAGAAACAAATATCTATGATTATGTATAAATTGATAATCGTAAAAACACTGAAACGAAGGTAAAAATGGTACAAAGCTCTGGGACCTTCTTCCTAATCCAAGGCTGTAAATTTTCTTGGAAAAATGATGTTCTCTATCAGTAGTTAGGTATGATTTTAAAGTTGTTTTCTCGCTGAATAAATAAACAATATTTTGGGTAGACATTTTTTTTGGGGAGGGGGCAATAAGTTTGACAAAAGATGAGCAAACTTGCAAAGAGCAAGTTTTTGTCTAATTTTTGCATTTATCCCCAGATCTTCTTAAATCGTTTACCCCATCAATATTCACTGCAACCCTGGTCCAATCTCTGCGTCTTGAAGATTACACGTGCTCAGAGAGCTGAGCATGAGGATAGAAATGGGTAACTGGAATTATTTGTTATTGATATAATGGAAAGGGGGAGAGTTTCATTTGAGAACATAATTAAATACTATCTCAACCCTATTTTATTCTAATCTGATCAACTTTTTTTTTACAAATTAAAAATCTTCCCTCTTGTTTTTAAATTTGATTAACACAACACTTTTTTTAATCATAATTGTTACGTTTGACCAAAGTTCGGGATAATAATACGGAATTAGCCGTATGTAAGAAGCTTAACTTTTTCTACATTTTTAACAAAAATTTAAAAAATAAAAGATAAAAAACTAACAAATTTGGCTCCTGATTTCACTTCTAAATTCTTCAAAATACCTTGCATCACCGTACGTATATATTTCAAGTCCGAATAACTGATTGGAAAGAAGAAAGTCGATTTTCAGTAAACTTTGAAATCTGTAAGTCCAGTGCAAACTAACCAGGAGGAGAAGGTCGAATTTAATTGACATTATTGGTATGACTTTGGGACCTCGTTGCTCTTCTAGTTCTGATTTTAAGAACTTCGGTTAGATACTGGCAATTCAAAACAATTTTATTCTTCTCAATAGCTCTTCAATTTAAGAAGTTATAATAAAAAAACAGATTAAAGATTTCAATCTTTAGTGCAGTTTACTTTAGTTTGAATTGAGTCAAATGCAAGCTATCTCATAAACTGGATATCCCCCCCC